TAGACTCTGTCTCAGAAAAAAAGAAAAACAAATAAAGTGCTTTAAAAGGCTCCTGGCATATTAATAAGCTTTTATTTTTAGCTTGTTGTTAATATCATCTTTGCTATTAATATCATTTTATTATGTAACAAAGTTACAGTATATCATAATCAAAGCCAGGTGCAGTGGTGTGGGACTGTAGTCCTGGCTACTCAGGATTGCTTGAGTCCCGGAGCTCCAGGCTGCAATGTACCATAATTGCACCTATGAATAGCTACCGCACTTCAGCCTGGGCAACACAGGGAGACCCTGCCTCTAAAAAAAACATACAGAGTCAAGTCAGACTGCCTGAATCCCAATGCAAAGGCTGTCACTGAGTTCTGTGTCACCTTGAGTAAGTAGCTTCATATCTCTGAGCTCCAGTTTTCCTCATTTCTTAATGGGGAGTAATACATTGCCTGCTTTGTCGGGTGTAGTGAGCACTCTTATTTATTTTTATTTTATTTTATTATTATTTTTTGAGACGTAGTCTCACTCTGTTGCCCAAGCTGGAGTGCAGCTGGATGCAATCTCAGCTCACCACAACCTCCGCCTCCCGGGTTCAAGCAATTCGCCTGCCTCAGCCTCCCAAGTAGCTGGGATTACAGGTGCCCGCCACGTCGCCCAGCTAATTTTTGTGTTTTTAGTAGAGATGGGGTTTCACCATGTCGGTCAGGCTGATCTCAAACTCCTGACCTCGTGATGTGCGCACTTCGGCCTCCCGAAATGCTGGAATTACAAGCGTGAGCCACCAAGTCCGGCTATAGCGAGCACTCTTATACTGCGGTGCTAAGTACAGGGCTTGGCACGAGCCACCCTTCCTATTGCACTTTCCTAAAACAGTCTATCATATCTGCTGATATACACGTATGAATTTACAGCAGGCCGGGTGTTGTGGCTCATGCCTGTAATCCCAGCACTTTGGGAGGCTGAGGCGGGAGAATCATTTGAGCCAAGAGTTTGGGACCAGCTTGGTTAACATAGTGAGACTCTACATTACAAAAAATTATTAAAAAAAAAATTTAGAGTGGGAGGTTGTAAACTACAGCCTGCTGTTGTATGGCCTGCAGATTATGAATTTTTTTTTTTTTTTGAGATGGAGTCTCACTCTGTCACCCAGGCTAGAGTGCAGTGGCACGATCTTGGCTCACTATAAGCTCTGCCTCCCAGGTTCACGCCATTCTCCTGCCTCAGCCGCCCGAGTAGCTGGGACTGCAGGTGCCTGCCACCACGCCCAGCTGATTTTTTTTTTTTTTGTATTTTTAGTAGAGACGGGGTTTCATTGTGTCAGCCAGGATGGTCTCAATCTCCTGACCTTGTGATCTGCCCGCCTTGGGCTCCCAAAGTGCTGAGATTACAGGCGTGAGCCGCCATGCCCAGCCAATTGTGAATATTTTTTATATTTTTAAATGATTGAAATAAAAAGGATATTTGTGACATGAAAATCATATGAAGCCAGGTGCAGTGGGTCACGTATGTAATCCCAGCACTTTGGGAGGCTGAGGCGGATGGATGACTTGAGCCCAGGAGTTTGAGACCAGCCCTGGCAACATAGCGAGACCCCGCTTCTACAAAAAGTGAAAAAATTAGCTGGGTATGATGGTGTGTGCCTGTAGATCCCGCTACTCAGGAGGCTGAGGTGGGAGGATTGCTTGAGCCCATGGAGGTCGAGGCTGCAGTGAGCTGTGATCATGCCACTGCATTCCAGCCTGGGTGACAGAGCAAGACCCTGTCTCAAAAAAAAAGAAAAGAAAAGAAAAAAAAAACATATGAAATTCAAATGTTGGTGTTCATAAATAAAGTTGTATTGGAATATAGCCACATTCATTCATTTACATATTATCTCTATCTTTGTTACTAACTATGGCAGAGGTGAGTGGCTGTGACATAGATCCTATGGGCTTCAAAGCCAAATTTATTTGCTCTCTGGCCCTTAACAGAGTTTGCTGGTCACTGGATTAGAAGGACATCCATGCTCTAGATTCGGGGCATGTAGTTTAGTAGACATATCCATGAGAGGCCAGGAATGGTGGCTCATGCCCGTAATCCTAGCATTTTGGGAGGCTGAGGTGGGATGATTGCTTGAGCCCAGGAGTCTGAGACCAGCCTGGGCAACGTAGTGAGACCCCCAGCTCTACAAAAAGTATAGAAAATAGTAATTAGCTGGGCATGGTTTCATGCACCTGTAGTCCCAGCTATTCAGGAGGCTGAGTAGAGAGGATTGCTTGAGCATGGGAGACAGAGGTTGCAGTGTGCCAAGATGGTGCCACTGTACTCCATCCTGGGCTCCAGAGTGAGATCCTGCCTCAAAATAAAAATAATAGGCCAGGTGTGGTGGCTCACGCCTGTAATCCCAGCACTTTGCGGGGCTGAGGCAGGCAGATCACCTGAGGTCAGGAGCTCACGACCAGCCTGGCTAACATGGTGAAACCCCATTTCTACTGAAAATACCAAAAATTAGCCAGGCATGGTGGTGCACACCTGTATTCCCAGCTACTCGGGAGGCTGAGGCAAGAGAATCGCTTGAACCTGGGAGGTGGAGGTTGCAGTGAGCCGAGATTGCACCACTGCACTCTAGCCCGGGCAACAAGAATGAAACACTGTCTCAAATAATAATAATAATAAAAAAAAATAGAGAAATACCCATGTAATCACTTCACTGTTCTGGATCCAAGATTCCTCATCTGTAAAACAAAGAACCTACTAATTCCTTTATTCAGCATAGATTCATTGAGAGCTTGATGCCAGACACTGGTCTGGGCACTGGGCCACAGGTGTGAGCAGCCCAGTGGGGCGGACAGATGAGAAACAAGTTAATGTGATTTTTCTGAAACATTTTAAATTGGGAGGCCACAGGGCAGATTTGGGAAGTAGTGACTTTTTTTTTTTTTTTGGGACAGAGTCTCCCTCTGTCACCCAGGCTGAGGTATGGTGGTGCCACCTTGGCTTACTGCAACCTCTGCCTCCCGGGTTCAAGCGATTCTCACACCTCAGCTACCTGAGTAGCTGGGATTACAGATGTGCACCACCACACCTGGCTATTGTATTTTGGATCTCACCTCACTGCAAGCTCCGCCTCCCGGGTTCACGCCATTCTCCTGCCTCAGCCTCCCGAGTAGCTGGGACTACAGGCGCCCGCTACCTCGCCCGGCTAGTTTTTTTGTATTTTTTAGTAGAGACGGGGTTTCACCGTGTTAGCCAGGATGGTCTCGATCTCCTGACCTCTTGATCCGCCCATCTCGGCCTCCCAAAGTGCTGGGATTACAGGCTTGAGCCACCGCGCCTGGCCGGCTATTGTATTTTCAGTAGAGATGGGGTTTCTCCATGTTGGCCAGGCGTGTCTTGAACTCCTGACCTCAAGTGATCCACCTGTTTTGATCCCCCAAAAAGCTGGGATTACAGACATGAACTACTGCACCTGGCCTGGAAATAGTAACATTTAAACTGATTGGTAAATAGGGCTGGGCACAGTGGCTCATGCCTGTAATCCCAGCACTTTGAGGGGCTGAGGTAGGGTGATTGCTTGAGCCCAGGAGATCAAAGCTGCAGTAAACCATGATCATGCCACTGCGCTCCATCCTGGGTGACAGACAGAGACCCTGTCTCTGAAAAAATAAAAGGAGAAGAATTCTGCCAGCTCTCTTTTCAGGCAGAACAAGACAGGTTGAGCTGAGCGTGATGCATTCACAGATAGGGAGAAGGCTGGTGTGGCAGGGGCCTTGTGTATAAGAGGGCAGGCTGTGTGAAATACGGGAGGCCAGGCCAGACTGGGGCCAAGTAGGACCTGTGCTATGGGTTGAATTACGTCCCCCAAAAAGATATGTTGAAATCCTAACCTTTGGTGTCTACGAATGTGAGCTTATTTGGAAATAGGGTCTTTGCAGATACAATCAAGTTAAGAGGAGATCATTATGGTGAGCACTAGCCCAGGTTGACTGACATCCTTATTTTTTTATTTTTTATATTTCTGAGACAGAGTCTTACACTGTTGCCCAGGCTGGAATGCAGTGGCGTAATCTTGGTTCACTGCTACCTCCATCCCCTGTGTTCAAGCGATTCTCCTGCCTCAGCCTCCCAAGTAGCTGGGATTACAGGCTCACACCACCATGCACGG